ACAACAATCATGAAAGGATTCCCCAGATCCAGCCCAGTCCAGGCCCGGCGAGGGTGTGGGCGAGCTTCTGGCTTCCCTGCACATGTGCAACCCTTCCAGACAAAAATTCAGGTATGCCGGGTGAATGAGACTCTCTACAATGCCCTCAGAACCCCTCCATCTCTGAGGAGCCCCCATGCACATGCCTGCAGAATAAGTGAGGACTTCTATGACGCTATTGGGACCCCCAGATCCAGCCCAGCTCAGGACCGGCTAGTGTGTGGGAAAACTTCTGCACTCCCCTGTGCCCACTGGACCAGGGGCACAACAGAAGATCACCAAAAGTTCACTGTTGTGCCAGAAGGGCACAACAGATGGACTTCCAAGTGCTGCAGTGGGAAGGAGCTGAACACAACAACTAGGCCCAAGCAAGGCATAACTGGATAACCTCAAACTTAATAGATCTGCACCCAAATTCCACTAGGTGCTAAGGTGATAACTGAATTAAAGCTCTACACCAAAGGTCAGAGGTAAGTGCTATATGAAATGACAAAGACAAGGCACAAAATGGAATCTAAGGCATAGAGCCCAACTGGAACAAATGCAAAGTACACTAGCTCAGCTGAAATATATGAATTAATAGCATTGGAAATAAAGAAACAACACCAGAAAGGTATAGAGGAACTCAGAGAAGAATTAATTTCTGAAATAAAAAAAAGAAATCGCTGAATTCATAGCATCTGAAGAATCAAACACAGAAACATATGGAGGAAACACAATGCCCACACAGAACAAGCGCAAAGGACAGTAGCTCAGCTGAAATGTATTAATTAATAGCACTGGAAGAAAAGAAACAACAGCAGAAAGATATAGAGGAACTCAGAGCAGAAATAACTTCTGAAATAAAAAAACCCTCTGAATTCACAGTATCTAAAGTAAAATATCAAATACAGAAACATATGGAGGAAACCCAATCTGAAAAAAACTCTGCAGAAAAGAATTAATATCTGTTTCTAAAGAAGACGTTGGTGCTTCCCTGGCAAGCACAAGGGCCTGAGTTAAATCCTCCGTTCCAAAAAAAAAAAAAAGACATTGAAAGCAAGAAGTCGAGGACTAAGTAATTATGTAAGGAAAAGGAGAAAATCTAGGAAACATGACAGTGACAAGCCATACAATTATATGTAGAAGATGGGAAAGGAAATGATCCTGAGAATCACCACAAGATTTTTGAATCTAGCAGTTAATTGGAAAGATCCTCACCCTGACTAACTATATATACTGATACCTGTGAACTAAGCAATTGCACTGAAGATGGTAATCTGTAATAGTAGTTTCATGCTTGGAGTGCCTGTCATTCTGGTCTTCTGAATATGGGTTGCTTGTCCTGACATGCCAATTGCTGCTGTGCTGTCTCTCAGGCAGATGATTGTTCAAAAAGAAGGGGGTGGTGAATGAAGGCAAGAGGCAAGAAAAGGAATGTAGGACTGTCCTGCTTCAAGCTTGTACATGCTTAGATTTTTGGACTTAAGTGTAAACATAAGAATTATATAATACTTTATGCCTATTTTAAAAATATATTGTAAATTTTAAATGATTTTTCATCCTATTCTGTAGGGACTTAAAGTTCAACATATCAATACTTGATGAAAAATACCTGTTCCATGCTATGCCTAAGATGTTTGATATTCACACAGATAGTGAGGTACAGCCTAGGTTGTATGGTAATAAAAATAAGCTTGTCTTCTGGAGGGTTAACAACCTAAGTTTGCAGACCAAAATTAGAGAAAAAGGAAGGCCGCAAGGAAGGCCAAATTTTGGCCTTAACCTTCCAAGGTCAATTAAGAGTCAGGACATATGAGAACTTGTACTGTTACGTCATGTAACTTGGTAGTGTCCCAAATTTTCTGATCAAGGAGTTTATAGGGCCAAAGAGGGAAGTGATCAATGATGTAGAGTGTGTCTAAGGAGAGTCACATGGGGAGAAGACACTCTCTCAGGCTTTCATAGAGAGCACATTGGCCAAGCAATGGCCGTGACTCATCCACATGGCTGACACTGACAAAGGTTCTACAATCTGAGGTACAG